TCTTAAATCTTTGCATGGACCTAGAATCACACCCATCCTTTTTTTTTTTTTTTTTTACAATTTATGCAGACTTCGATAATTTTTAATAAAATTCCTAATGGTTTATACTATTATATGCTTTTTAGCATTTTTTGATTATTTACAACTGGAAGTAATATTCTAATGTATTTCCAACTATTTTCTATTCGCTTCTTGGCAATGTTCACATTAAAATTTTAGCAAAACATTTTCCAATAGAAAATTAGTTTAAAATAAAAATTCTTATTTCCTAAATCATAAATTTGTAACTTTTTTCTACCACAGTGACTTTAAGCTTAATTTAATCACGTTTTCCCCTTTGTTAAGTTATTTTGCTTCTAAATTATTAAATTCATTTTAAACCTCTGACACCTATTTATATCATCAGCCAAATGTGGAGAGAGAGAGTGACTTAAAGTTTTAATTATTTACTGGTTCATTATTTCCAAAATGATATTTTGTCCAATTAGTTTTTGGAAAAAAATCTCCTTATTTTTCTATTCTCAAGAAGTTTATGAGCTATGAAAATCTTAGTTACTATACAAATAATATATGTGAAAATAAAATATATTTTACATTAATATTTATACTTTTCATTTCAATTGAGCAAATATTTATTTAGCAAGCATCTGCTGAGTGTTAGACATTATTCTAGACACCATGGGGACAGAAATAAATAAGATGCAACCCCCAGTCTTGAGTAACTCAAGGTCCAAAGTAGAGGCAAACCTGCAAACAGCTCGTTGCAATACAATCTGATAACAGAGTTATTAAGAAGCTGTCTTTGGAGACCTATGCTATCTCCTTCAATCTTTACACTTCTCTCTCTCTCTCTGTTCCCCCTCTCTTTCTCTATCTTTGTATAATCAGTACTGATAGAAAACATTTTCAATAAATGAACAGAGCTAATAAATGTAAAATAAGAGATGTAAATCAGTTCTTTTACCTTACAGAGCCTTGCAAAGAATTAGTGTTTATGTATTTTGAATTCTAATATCATTAAGAGTCAACATGTTAAGTAAAGGCAAAATCTGTATACAAAAATAAAAACAAAAACTGAGGTGATCAAAGTGGTCTAAGATACCCGGGAAGGATTTATGGAAGAAGGGGAGCCCGTGATGGACCCAGAAATAGAAAATTGCATTATACTGTATAGTGCTTTTATGGACTTGGGTAGCACCAGTGGTGATTTCTACTACAGGTACAAGTCTTTGATTGCACTGGGAATGGAATTCTTTATGTCCTATACAACAGTCTGAAATATTCTGTTAGTTATAATCACAGATACACTCTCCATTTATTGCTATTTTTCTTTGGACATTCACTGCTTTTAAAACCTGCATTAAGTTTTTCCCATTAAACATAGCTTCCTTAACTTGATGAAGTTGAAGGAGAGAATTTTTTCTCTCTGAATTTTAGCAGTTTGTATTTCCAAATGTTACATCCAACTCCCTGTTGAAAGTGTAAAGAGATGTTTACAGACATTTATTTTTAAAGGTCTACTTTGGGAAACCTTGTTTTCAGGGATGATTTTCATTTCCTCTCAAAAGGCTTGAAGACAGTACGTTTCTACACTCCCCACGTTGCTGTTACACAGCCCGATGCCTCATTTTGTTTCCGCTTTACTTTTGTTTAAATATACATAAATGGTGCCAAGAACATAGTTTGAAGCTTGTCCATCCAGCACCAGTGTCTTGTGGTCTATTTATGTATTTGTGTCCAATATTGTTATGTTGATCTTTCTGTACTACAGTTGATTGTATTATCTGTGCTAAAGGTATTTTTTTTTAAATAATTTATTTCTATTTTCAACAGAAAAAAATGGTAAAAAATTCTCTAGTATGAGTTCAATTTTCGGAATGGCTCATTTGGTTTTTCCAGTTATGGCAGTTATCATATCTTGCAGTTGTCTTTAGGAGATTTTAAAATATTTGATAAATTAACACTGCTCCTCTTTTCTTTGGGAAATTATTTATCAGGACATTCGACTAGTGGATGGTGGATGTGTACCTTCTAATAAGCAGTATTACCAATAGTTAATGAAAATAATGGAAAATCTCTCTAAAAGAAATGAGGAAGTTTTCTAATTATAAAGATTCCTGGGCAAGAATGAAAACACCACAAAACCTTCTTATTTACATATTCTCACTTTCTCCGTGTTTTTTTTTTCCCCCTCTCTCTCCATGATTGATATTCAGCTTGTCTGTCTGACAATAAGATCCCTCAGACTCGTCCTGAGTCTTCAACTCAGGTGCTCCCCGAGAGAATTGAAACTTTTTCTAAATTAGAAAGTCATACGAAGTAAAATGTAATTTCTTAAATATTTTATTGAGTTTTTTGGTGGACGTTTACATAGCAAGTTAGGTTCCCATTTGACAATTTCCGCACAAATTGTTCGGCGACGTTAGTTGCATTTATCACAACGTGTCAACATTCTCTTTGTGTTCTGTTTGTTCCCTTTCCTGTACTCTAGTTTCCCTGCCCTCTTATCTTCTCATCTCTGCTCTGGAGTAATTGTTGACCTTTTGGTCTCATATTGATGGTTTTTAAGTATCGCATCGATCTTACAGGTAATATCCTTTATTTTGTAAGCCATTCTGCTATTTCACTAAAAGGTGATCTCGGGATAGGCTCACTTCTAGGTTTAAAGAGTGTCTCAGGGTGACAGTCTCAGGGAGTCCTCCATTCTCTACCGTTCCAGTGTGTCTGGTTTTTTTTTTTTTTTTTTTTTAATAAGAATTTGAGTTCTGCTCTATGTTTCTCTCCCATCCTATTCAGGACCAAGTATCGTGACCCTGGTCAGAGTGGTCAGTTGTGGTAGCCAGGCGCCATCTAGTTCTTCTGGTCTCAGGATAGACGAGTTTGTGGCTCGTGTAGACTTGTTTCCTCTCTGATCTTTTGGTTGCCTTCCTACTGTTTTGCTCCTGGAGAGGAGAGATCATAGCTGTGTCTTAGATGGTGCTAACAAGTGTTTAAGCCCTCAGACGCTACTCCCTTCACTAGGACGCAGATCGTGATTTTTGTGAACCATGTTATACCAGTCGACTGAGTTGTCCCATGAGACTATGGTTGTGAGCCTTCAAACCCCGAAAACTGCTCGTGGAAGGTGTTTCTTTATGTCTGAGGAGTATTTGTGTCTTCAATGAATACATGCGCCTGCACTACGTGTTTGTATTTACACATCCCTACAATAGATTTTATTTTGAAACCCTGGTGGCGTAGTGGTTAAGTGCTATGGCTGCTAACCAAGAGGTCAGCAGTTGCAATCCACCAAGTGCTCCTTGTAAACTCTATGGGGCAGTTCTACTCTGTCCTGTAGAGTTGCTATGAGTCAGAATCAACTCGACAGCAATGGGTTAGGTCTTGTTTTATAGATAACTTCTATCTGTTCTCACCTATGTACACACCTGTACCCATCCAAATACCAGTATGTCTATGCCCATCCATTTGTGCTCAAATACTCATTTTTACTTTTGTTGTGCTGTGCTTACTACATCCACGTTCAGTGCCACTTTTCCCAAAACCAAAAATAACAAGTAAAATACCTTTTTAATAGACTAGAAAGAAGCATATTTTAAGACTTATTGCCTTAAGGATAGTAAATTTGGAATTAAATACAGAATTTTGTTTTCATACAAGATGGAAAAAATTATAGACTTGTCTTTAATTATTTTCTGTTGTGTTATTAAATGCTTAGGTGTTTGTAGACTGATTTCAGAAATGACTTTTAAAAATTTAAACAGAAAATATTTTGAATATGTAAACAGTGATTTCATAAACATGTCAATAATATGAAACATCTAGTTGCTAATATTTGCAAATAGTTCAGCTTGTCCATATTTGAGTGATGTCATGATAAAAATAATTACAATAATCACGGAAGCTTGCCCTCCCTTCACTGGGAAGGCTCTGCATTTCTCAGGTTATAAATATAACAAAACAGAAAAAAATTGTACTACATTATCCCTGTAAATAAAAATATACCTCAGCACATGCAAAATATGGATTCAAACATAAAATAATTGAAGTTTACTTATTTTGAAATCATTTTTAATTTTAAAATATTGTAATAGTGTCTTGGTTTATCAGAATATTACATAATTTAAGCCAGAAATATGGAGACAAAGCAGTCAATCGTGACCTGTCCGTTCAACTTAAAAAAAAACAAACCCGTTGCCATTGAGTCAATTCCAACTCATAGCAACCCTATAGAGAATGATATCAATGTAAAAAGTGAAAAGGTCAAGAAAGAACAGAATCAAAGCCAAAATATTGAAATAGAGTGAACGCAGTAGTTAAAATGCCAAAAATAATAGTTGAAACTTGGTTGTGACTCAGACCCCGTATAAATGCATGGGGCTTAGCAGAAGGCCTAGAATATAATAGTGACTCACTTTTTAAAAAAAATCCTATTGAATTAATGAATGTAGTGTCTCACTTATTCTTTAATTCAGTTGTTTATCCATTGAACATTGAACATTGATTAGTGATGTGTATCAGCTGCTGTCCTAGTGCTGAAGGAATAAGGGTAAACATGACAGAGAATTACAGTATAATATGGTGTAAGAAATCCATGCTGTGGTTCTTATGTCACTCTTTCAGATCTCTCTATTCTGCTGTTTCATCTGGTATGTAACTCTGTGAGAACGTAGAATCTCATAATGACAGAAAATAGTTTAGTCATCATCTAGGGCATTGAATCCAAGCAGAACTGTATTTTTTTTCCTTAAGAAAATACATTCATTTACACTTTTACATAATCTTTATGAAAGTATTATATTTCATATATTCCTAAAATATTAAGATAATTTCTTGGTTTATTTTTAGGTAAAAATTAAAATATTTTATTATAAAGTTTGGCTAATTTTATAATTCAAAAGTGATGTCTGCTTTGTGATATAAATTGATTTCAATGTAATTTTTTTTTTTTTTTTTTGCTTTTATTCTTTTTTTTTTTTTCCTTTGTTCTTTTCTTCAAATAGTTTTACCTAGCCATACATGTGGAAATCCTGGGGAGATATTAAAAGGAGTTCTCCACGGAACGAGATTCAACATAGGGGACAAAATCCGATACAGCTGTCTCTCTGGTTATATCTTGGAAGGACATGCAATTCTGACCTGCATCGTTAGCCCTGGGAATGGTGCATCATGGGATTTTCCAGCTCCATTTTGCAGAGGTATTGTACGAGTATGTGCTTGAGATCTGACACCTGTACTAAGTAAATGGGTTCAGAGCTGATATTATAAAAGTTACCATTTAAATGAAAAGAGAACATTTCATGCTGGGCTATACCATGTCAGTTCATTCTGTTTCCAAAAGTAATACTGTATGTTATACAAGAAACAAGAGCTGCACTCTATAAAATCAGTAACAAATTTATATATGTCCCTCAAATATTCAAATTTTTCTTCATTGCATGTCTTAAACTCTATGGACTCCTGCATATTTTTATCACTGCTTTTCATAGTATTCTAATACCTGATGTGCATGTTTAAATGTCCTTTTTGATTTGACTTCCCATTCTGGGTTCCTTTTTTATCCTTTTCTCATTAAAAAATGCAAACACCCTTAGATAATTTAATGTAGATATTTTAAGGATTCTTTCAACTCTCATATGCCTTTGAACATAAATGAATGCATTATTCCAAGAACTCATAACCATAATTTTGTGGATAACCTCCTGAAGTCCTGAAATATTTAGCCTTTCTGATAATATTATTTTACTGATCTAATTACTTTAGGAAAGAGCATACTTTGACTCTTAGATTTTGACTTTCCTAAGAAAAACTCATCTTAGGAGTTCAGCAATAAAGACATAGCTAACATTCATTGAGGCCTTAATGTAATGCCAGCAAATGTGTTAAGCACTTTTCTTTGTTCATGTCATTCAGTCCTCACCACAATCCACTGAAATAATCATTACTCACAGTCTCTCAACTGATGAAGACAAAAAGTTTAATTTTCAAAGGGGAACATCTGTCATATACGATGAGTTAAGACTCAAACCCACATATGATGTTTAATCCATGCACTAAACTATGCCAGTTTACAGCCTCAACTGTAAATCATCATATGACGTGGTTTTATTTTGAACGATATGTTTTATTTTAACCTATGGCATTCAGTGAATACTTACCTATATTTTCATTTTTTTCTGTTAAATGTTATAGTCTCATGAGAAATTCCTGATGAAAATAATTTTAGAATGGGCAATTACTATCACTACTGCTATTACTATTATTACTAACTAGCACTTAAAAACAAAACTAAAAAAAAACCATTGCCGTTGAGTCGATTCCAGCTCACGATGGCCTATGTGGTAGCAGTCACTACATTATCATACTTAGTACTCCCAAATAGATTGTTCCATTGAAGATTGATTTCATACATAAGGAATCTGAAGGTTAGAAGGAAAATTGATTTGCCTAAGATATTCCAGCTAATAAATGTTGGAGCTGGGATTTACTATATTCAAATTATTTCTCTGTTTTGGAGAAATTACTATTATAATATTTTCTACACCATACGTCTATTATTCCTCCTGAAATACTCTAATCCTCTGCATGTGGCTGAAGTTTATTGTATACTTCTTTTTATCTTACTTACGACTATTGATTCTTTTTACTCCCTCCATTGACGAAAGGGTGGTATCTTCAAAATCTAGATCTAAGCCCCTTTCTCTTTCCTTTCTACAGATTTGTCTCAACTAACTGATCTCATTTAAGGACATTATAGTTTGAATATCGTAAATATATTATTTATTCTAACTTATTTCTGACTTTAGCTCCATTATTTTCCAATTCACTCTAGATAAAAAAATTTCAGTTCCTTGGAGTTTGTTCTCTCATCCAGACTGCCTTGGGTTGATTAAATGTTCTCCATATCTAGAAACTTGGCCTCCAACCTACGCTCTGCTCTTAAACAATTCTCCCAAAGCAGACATCTTCATCATAGCCATTCTTCTCTTAACCAAACTATTTCAGTGTCTCAATACGAATTAACTACAAGTTCTTCAGCACGGCTTTCAATATGCTCCATAATCTGGACTTACCTACAAAGTGCAGTTTGAACCATCAGTGTACCCAGACCAAAATGTTACGCATTTACCATCTACTTTTTTCTCTACCATGCAGTGTTTTTCTAGGAATGATTTGTACTTGTTTACCTGAGAGTTGGTTATGTTCATCTTTTCCAAGCTCTGAATGCTTTAATGTCATGATGTGAGCTTGAAATTAGCCATGGTAGATGTTAGATCTTAACAATATTTTCTGCACAACTTTATAAGTTCCTAGGAAAAAAAAGCCATTAAAACTTTATAAGAAACTGTATCCTCAGTTCCTTTCTCTCTTAAAATTTAGCCTAATCTATAGCTATTCCCTCTTAGTGTTGTACCCAATCAAAAACTTAGTAGAGGCATAAAAATCTGCTGAGCATCAGATAAAGAGCTACTATAAACTTCAAAAAGATACCTCTACATGTAGCGTTAAGGGGCCATGGTGGCACAGTGGTTTAAGTGCTCAGTTACTAACCAAAATGTCAGTGATTTGAACCCACCAGCTGCTCTGTGGGAGAAAGATGTGGCAGTCTGCTTCTGTAAAGATTTATAACCTTGGACACTATATGGGGAAGTTCTACTCTGTCCCATAGGGTTGCCATGAGTTGGAATAGACTCAGTGGCAGAGGGTATATATAACAATAAGCATTAACAACTATAGCAACCTCTTATTTGCTCATGCTTCCTTCGGGAGTTTTCTTCTTAACTGAAGGGGCTTTACTAATTCTACAATTATAATACCTTATAAAGTCAAAGTTGGTATAATAGTCAACTAATACTCTTTCCTATTCTATCACTAATTTATAAAATTCCAGCTATATCAAGATGTGGTTGTCATGGTAAATAGTTTTTCTTCTATATTACAGATTATGAAATTTACACTTAAATTTTGCTTTGTCTAATACTTGTACAAGTTGTGCTGGCTTCCGCAGTATTCTGCACCGTCTTACCCTTCACCAAAGTTACCACTTAGCTATTGTCTGTTTAGTGTTTTTCCATCCCCAACCCCCGCCCGATCATAACCATGAAAGACTGTTTCTTTTTGTGTGTAAATCTTTTCATGAGTTTTCTCAGTAGTGGTCTCATACAATATTTGTCCTTTTGTGATTGACTTATTTCACTCAGTATAATGCACTCCAGATTCATCCATGTTATGAGATGCTTCGTAGATTCATCATTGTTCTTTATCATTGCATAATACTTCATTGTGTGTATGTACCATAATTTGTTTATCCATTCATCTGTTGATTGGCATCTAGGTTGTTTCCATCTTTTTGCTGTTGTGAAAAATGCTGCAGTGAATATGGGTGTGCATATGTCTATTTGTGTGACAACTCTTATTTCTCTAGGATATATTCCTAGGTGTGGGATTGTTGGATCATATGGTATTTCTATTTCTAGCTTTCTAAAGAAGTGCCATATCATTTTCCAAAATAGTTGTATCATTTTGCATTCCCATAAGCAGTGCATAAGAGTTCCAATCTCCCCACAGCCTCTCTAATATTTGATATTTCCTGGGTGTTTGATTCATGCCAGTAATGCTGGGGTAAGATGGTATCTCACTGTGATTTTGATTTGAATTTCTCTAATGTCTAGTGATTGTGAGCATTTCCTCACATGTCTGTTGGCTGCCTGAAAGTCTTCTTTTGTGAAATGTCTGTTCAATTCCTTCGCCGGTTTTTTAATTGGATTATTTGTCTTTTTGTTGTAGAGGTGTTGGATTTTCTTGTAGATTTTAGAGATAAGACGTTTGTCTGATTTATAATGTCCAAAAACATTTTCCTGGTTTGTAGGTTCTCTTTTTACTCTTTCGATGAAATATTTTGATGGGTGTAAGTATTTAATTTTTAGAAGATCCCAGTTATCTAGCTCATCTTCTGGAGTTTGTGTGTTGTTGGTTATGGTTTGTATCTTGTTAATACCGTGTATTAGGGCCTCTGGCATTGATCCTATTTTTTTTCTTCTATGATCTTTCTAGTTTTTGGCTTTATATTTAGGTCTTTGATCCATTTTCAGTTAGTTTCTGTGTATGGTGTGAGGTATGGGTCCTGTTTCATTTTTTTTGCATATGGACATCCAGTTTTGCCAGTATCGTTTCTTAAAAAGACTGTCTTTTCCCCATTGATGGACTTTGAGCCCTTGTCGAAGATCAGGAGACTGTAGGTGGATGAATTTATGTCTGGGTTCTCAATTCTGTTCCATTGGCCAATGTATCTGTCGTTGTACCAGTACCAGGCTGTTTTGACTACTGTAGCTGTATAGTAGTTTCTGAGGTCAGGTAGTACAAGTCCTCCTACTTTAGTCTTCTTCTTCAATAGTGCTTTACTTATCCTGGGCTTCTTCCCTTTCCATATAAAGTTAATGATTAGTTCTTCCATCTCTTTAAAGAATGTTGTTGGGATTTGAATTGGGATTGCATTGTATTTGTAAATCGCTTTGGGTAGAATTGTAATTTTCACAATGTTGTGTCTACCTATCAATGAGCATGGTCTATTTTTCCATTTATGTAGATCTCTTTTGGTTTCTTGCAGTAGTGTTTTGTAGTTTTCTTTGTATAGGACTTTTACATCCCTGGTTAGATTTATTCTGAAGTATTTTATTCTTTTAGGGGCTATTATAAATGGTATTGTTTTCCTGATTTCCTTTCCATGGTTCTCTTTATTGGTGTATAGGAATCCAACTGATTTTTGTATGTTTATCTTGTATCCTGCTACACTGGTGAATCTTTCTATTAGTTCCAGTAGATTTCTCGTGGAGTCTTTAGGGTTTTCTATGTATAGTATCATATCATCCGCAAATAGGGACAGTTTAACTTCTTCATTACCAGTTTGGATGCCCTTTATTTCTTTTTCTTGCCTTATTGCTCTAGCTAGAAGTTCCAGCACAATGTTAAATAGGAGTGGTGATAAAGGGCATCCTTGTCTTGTTCCTGTTCTCAAGGGGAATGTTTTCAGCCTCTCTCCATTAAGAATGATGTTGGCCATTGGTTTTGCATAGATGCCCTTTATTATGTTGAGAAATTTCCCTTCTATACCTATTTGATTGAGAGTTTTTATCAGGAATGGGCATTGGACTTTATCAAATGCCTTTTCTGCATCAATTGAGATGATCATGTGATTCTT